TGGGAACCTGGGAGTTGATTGTGGTCTATCCATTTGCTGTCTCTCGGTGTGTAGTCGCCAGTCTCCTCTCCACACTCTCTGCAGCATTTAACGTGTTAACCCTATGGTGACAGTCTCAATTGTGGCTTTCTCAATTTGTGATCTATGTCCAACATAATAGGGCCTGTAAATCATGACTTGACATAGGGGTCATGCTTCTCTCCTGCACGGCATGCAACAGTGGCTGATGACCAGTGGGCCCCTCTTGGCATAGTTATTAGAATGGAAGCGGTGTTGCCTTCCTGTGAAACCTTGTGATCTTAGAGAATAAATCCAGAATCAAAAAATAGTTGACAGACTGGACGAGGTGGCTCATGCCTATATAATCCCAGCACTTCCAAGGCAGGCGGATCACCTGAGGTCAGGAGTCCGAGACCAGCCTGGCCAACATGGTGAAACCTTGTCTCGACCAAAAATACAAAAAGTTAGCTGAGCGTGGTGGTGCATGCTTGTAATCCCAGCTACTTGAGAGGCTGTGGCAGGAGAATCACTTGAACCGGGGAGGCAGAGGTTGCAGTGAGCTGAGATTGTGCCATTGCACTCCAACCTGGACAACAAGAGCGAGACTCTGTTTCAAAAAAAAAGAAAATAGTTGACAGACACATTTCACTGACTCTAGATAACGCTCTCTCCCAATCTTATTGTGTCTAGAATTGTTTTCTATATAACACATTATGGGGAACAAAGAAACAGGAGAAAATGGAGGAACTGGAAGTGCCAAGCTGAAGAACATGTAATCTTACGCTGGCTATTCATTCTAGAATTATACCAATCTATAACCATTGTGAAGAAGAAGGGACAGAACTAGGCAGTGGGGAATAGAAATGGCCTTCTCTTCTCTGTAAGCAGGCAGTAGTCATCTCTAAAGATTTTTCCCCAAAGAGATTTGAAATTCCTGATGGGAGCTTAAAAAGCTAAGAGTAAAATACATTTATTTATAAGACCCTACTAGAAGAGGTATGTGTGTGTGTGTGTGAGAGTGTGTGTGTGTGTGTGTAGACGAGGAATACAGAATAGTAGCAGAAGGCTGTCTCCCTACTCCTAATGGGATTTTGTAGCAGCATGTGCGAGTTTGTTTCAGAAGTCAAAAATGAACAGATGTTAGTATAAATTACCTCTGTGTCTGATGTCTTGCAAATTAAAAGCGCGGTTGGCATCACTAAACAATTTCACTAGGTTTGGGGGGGTGCGGTTAGCGGGCGGTGATTACTGTAGCAGGTCGGTAAGAATCTTCGCACTGCAGCAGAGCGAGGATAAAGAAATGAGGAATAAAATAAGGGCTATATGAATTAATCAGAAATGTT